AGTTGTATGTATGTTGTGTTGCCTCCGGTGCCTCTGTTTTGTTCCATTGGTCTATATCTCTGTTTTGGTACCAGTACAGTGCTGTTTTGATTACTGTAGCCTTGTAGTATAGTTTGAAATCCGGTAGTGTGATGCCCCCCGCTGTGTTCTTTTTGCTTAGAATTGACTTGGCTATGCGGGCTCTCTTTTGGTTCCATATGAAGTTCATGGTGGTTTTTTCCAGTTCTGTGAAGAAAGTCAATGGTAGCTTGATGGGGATAGCGTTGATTCTGTAAATTACTTTGGGCAGTATAGCCATTTTCACGATGTTAATTCTTCCTAACCATGAACATGGAATGTTTCTCCATCTGTTTGTGTCCTCTCTGATTTCGTTGAGCAGTGGTTTGTAGTTCTCCTTGAAGAGGTCCCTTACGTTCCTTGTGAGTTGTATTCCAAGGTATTTTATTCTTTTTGTAGCAATTGCGAATGGCAGTTCGCTCTTGATTTGGCTTTCTTTAAGTCTGTTATTGGTGTAGACGAATGCTTGTGATTTTTGCACATTGATTTTATATCCTGAGACTTTGCTGAAGTTGCTTATCAGTTTCAGGAGTTTTTGGGCTGAGACGATGGGGTCTTCCAGGTATACTATCATGTCGTCTGCAAATAGAGACAATTTGGCTTCCTCCTTTCCTATTTGAATACCCTTTATTTCTTTTTCTTGCCTGATTGCTTTGGCTAGAACTTCCAGTACTATATTGAATAGGAGTGGTGAGAGAGGGCATCCTTGTCTAGTGCCAGATTTTAAAGGGAATGCTTCCAGTTTTTGCCCATTCAGTATGATATTGGCTGTTGGTTTGTCATAAATAGCTTTTATTACTTTGAGATACGTTCCATCGATACCGAGTTTATGGAGGGATTTTAGCATAAAGGGCTGTGAATTTTGTCAAATGCCTTCTCTGCGTCAATTGAGATAATCATGTGGTTTTTGTTTTTGGTTCTGTTTATGTGGTGAATTACGTTGATAGACTTGCGTATGTTGAACCAGCCTTGCATCCCTGGGATGAATCCTACTTGATCATGATGAATAAGTTTTTTGATTTGCTGTTGCAATCAGCTTGCCAATATTTTATTGAAGATTTTTGCATCTATGTTCATCATGGATATTGGCCTGAAGTTTTCTTTTCTTGTTGGGTCTCTGCCAGGTTTTGGTATCAGGATGATGTTGGTCTCATAAAATGATTTGGGAAGGATTCCCTCTTTTTGGTTTGTTTGAAATAGTTTTAGAAGGAATGGTACCAGCTCCTCCTTGTGTGTCTGGTAGAATTCGGCTGTGAACCCGTCTGGACCTGGGCTTTTTTTGTGTGGTAGGCTCTTAATTGCTGCCTCAACTTCAGACCTTGTTATTGGTCTATTCATAGTTTCGGCTTCCTCCTGGTTTAGGCTTGGGAGGACACAGGAGTCCAGGAATTTATCCATTTCTTCCAGGTTTACTAGTTTATGCGCATAGAGTTGTTTGTAATATTCTCTGATGATGGTTTGAATTTCTGTGGAATCTGTGGTGATTTCCCCTTTATCATTTTTTATTGCATCTATTTGGTTGTTCTCTCTTTTATTTTTAATCAATCTGGCTAGTGTTCTGTCTATTTTGTTGATCTTTTCAAAAAACCAGCTCTTGGATTTATTGATTTTTTGAAGGGTTTTTCGTGTCTCAATCTCCTTCAGTTCAGCTTTGATCTTAGTTATTTCTTGTCTTCTGCTGGGTTTTGAGTTTTGTTGATCTTGGTCCTCTAGCTCTTTCAATTTTGACGATAGGGTGTCAATTTTGGATCTCTCCATTCTCCTCATATGGGCACTTATTGCTATATACTTTCCTCTAGAGACTGCTTTAAATGTGTCCCAGAGGTTCTGGCATGTTGTGTCTTCGTTCTCATTGGTTTCGAAGAACTTCTTTATTTCTGCCTTCATTTCGTTGTTTACCCAGTCAACATTCAAGAGCCAGTTGTTCAGTTTCCATAAAGCTGTGCGGTTCTGGGTCGGTTTCTGAATTCTGAGTTCTAACTTGATTGCACTATGGTCTGAGAGGCTGTTTGTTATGATTTCAGTTGTTTTGCATTTGTTGAGCAGTGCTTTACTTCCAATTATGTGGTCAATTTTAGAGTAGGTGTGATGTGGTGCTGAGAAGAATGTGTATTCTGTGGATTTGGGGTGGAGAGTTCTGTAAATGTCTATCAGGTTTGCTTGCTCCTGGTGTGAGTTCAAGCCCTGGATATCCTTGTTGATTTTCTGTCTGGTTGATCTGTCTAGTACTGACAGTAGAGTGTTAAAGTCTCCCACTATTATTGTGTGGGAGTCTAAGTCCTTTTGTAAGTCATTAAGAACTTGCCTTATGTATCTGGGTGCTCCTGTGTTGGGTCCATATATGTTTAGGATCGTTAGCTCTTCTTGTTGTATCGATCCTTTTACCATTATGTAATGGCCTTCTTTGTCTCTTTTGATCTTTGTTGCTTTAAAGTCAGAGATGAGAATTGCAACTCCTGCTTTTTTTTTGCTTTTCATTAGCTTGGTAAATCTTCCTCCATCCCTTTATTTTGAGCCTTTGTGTATCCTTGCATGTGATATGGGTTTCCTGGATACAGCACACTGATGAGTTTTGGATTTTTATCCAATTTGCCAGTCTGTGTCTTTTGATTGGTGCATTTAGTCCATTTACATTTAGGGTTAGTATTGTTATGTGTGAATTTGATACTGCCATTTTGATGCTAAGTGGCTGTTTTGCCTGTTAGTTGTTGTAGATTCTTCATTATGTTGATGCTCTTTAGCATTCAGTGTGATTTTGGAATGGCTGGTACTGGTTGATCCTTTCTATGTGTAGTGCCTCTTTTAGGAGCTCTTGTAAAGCAGGCCTGGTGGTGACCAAATCTCTGAGTACTTGCTTGTTCGCAAAGGATTTTATTTTTCCTTCACTTCTGAAGCTCAGTTTGGCTGGATATGAAATTCTGGGTTGAAAGTTCTTTTCTTTAAGAATGTTGAATATTGGCCCCCACTCTCTTCTGGCCTGTAGTGTTTCTGCCGAGAGATCTGCTGTCAGTCTGATGGGCTTCCCTTTGTGGGTGACCTGACCTTTCTCTCTGGCTGCCCTTAGTATTCTCTCCTTTATTTCAACCCTGTTGAATCTGATGATTATGTGCCTTGGGTTGCTCTTCTTGCGGAATATCTTTGTGGTGTTCTCTGTATTTCCTGCAATTGAGTGTTGGCCTGTCTTGCTAGGTGGGGGAAATTTTCCCGGATGATGTCCTGAAGAGTATTTTCCAGCTTGGATTCATTCTCTTCGTCCCCTTCTGGTACACCTATCAAACGTAGGTTAGGTCTTTTCACATAGTCCCACATTTCTTGGAGACTTTGTTCATTCCTTTTTGCGCTTTTCTCTGATCTTGGTTTCTCATTTTATTTCATTGAGTTGGTCTTCGACTTCAGATATTCTTTCTTCTGCTTGGTCAATTCGACTATTGAAACTTGTGTTTGCTTCGCGAAGTTCTCGTATTGTGTTTTTCAGCTCCTTTAATTCATTCATATTCCTCTCTAAGTTATCCATTCTTGTTATCATTTCCTCGAATCTTTTTTCAAATCTTTTTTCAAGGTTCTTAGTTTCTTTGCATTGATTTAATACATGATCTTTTAGCTCACAAAAGTTTCTCATTATCCATCTTCTGAAGTCTAATTCCGTCATTTCGTCACAGTCTTTCTCCGTCCAGCTTTGTTCCCTTGCTGGTGAGGAGTTTTGGTCCTTTCTAGGAGGCGAGGTGTTCTGGTTTCGGGTGTTTTCCTCCTTTTTGCGCTGGTTTCTTCCCATCTTTGTGGATTTGTCCACTGGTCGTCTGCGTAGTTGCTGACTTTTCGATTGGTTCTCTGAGTGGACACCCGGAATGTTGATGATGAAGTATTTCTGTTGCTTGGTTTTCCTTCTACCAGTCTAGCCCCTTTGCTGTACGACTGCTGAGGTCCACTCCAGACCCTGCTTGTCTGGGGTGCACCTCTAGCAGCTGTGGCACAGCGAGGGATGCTACCAGTTTTTTTCTGCTATCTTTGTCCCAGGATGATGCCTGCCTAATGTCAGTCTTTTGGATATAGAGGGGTCAGGGAGCTGCTTGAGGAGACATTTTGTACTTTATACGGGCTTAATTGCTGAGCTGTGCGCTCTGTTGTTCATTCAGGGCTGTTAGGCTGCTATGTTTGATTCTGCTGCAACAGAGCTCATTAAAAAACCCTTTTTTTTTTTTTTTCTCAAATGCTCTGTGTTGAGGGGTTTGGGCTTTATTTTTGGATGTTTGATGAGGTGTCCTGCCCAGCTAGAAGGCAGACTAGCCACTGTTTGGCTGCCGAGGCTCCGCCCTGCTGTTGTGTGATTCGCGCTGTTCCTGCCGGCTCTGCTGTGGTCTCTGCCACGCCCTGCAGCGGAGTCTCTTTGTTGTAGCATGTTGCCTCAGCAACGGCAGGCTGCGTCAGCAGTGGGCGTGTATCTCAGTTGGGGCGGGTTGCCTCGGCAACGGCTGGCTGCGTCAGCAGTGGGCGTGTATCTCAGTTGGGGCGGGTTGCCTCGGCAACGGCTGGCTGCGTCAGCAGTGGGCGTGTATCTCAGTTGGGGCGGGTTGCCTCAGTAGTGGTGGACGCCCCTCCCCCACAGAGCGTCTCGGACTGTCTGCTCGGGATAGTTTGAAATCGCGGTTTTGTTTATCCCACTGGGTATCCCAAACGATCTGTCCCTGCAATCCCCTGGGCTGGGCTACTGTCCAAGTCTCGTTCAGTCTCAGGTCCAGCCCTCTCAAGTCTCAGGTTGCCGGTTCAACAGGGCACCCGGACACGCGCGCCCTGTGGGGATTGCTGGGTATGGCCAGCCGCCGCCGCCCCAGCTGCCGGCTTCACCAGGCAGACCTACTGCCTGGCGTCCCATGTCTTTTTATACTTGGGAGTTTCCCCATTCTGTGGGCAACAAAGATCAGTCTGTAAATGCAGCTCTGACTCACCGTTTGCAGATTCAATGCGAGCTCCAATCCTGGGTTGTTCTCACAGCACCATCTTGAGTCCTCTCCCGTGCAGCAGATTTCTAATCTTGAGGAGCCAACAGACAAAACACAGGACCAATATCAGTCCCCCAGAGTTAAATCATGCAGTCCAGGAGTCCTGAACTGGGCCTTAGCCCCCTAAAATTTTACACAAATGGAGCTACTCAACTACCCACCTTATGTTACAATCAAACATCCAAGGTCATCAAATAGGATAAAAGAAAATAAAAATAATCCAAAGGACAGCAAATTCAAAGATTGAAGGAACATCAGCCCAGAAATATGAGAAAGAACCAGCACAGGAACTCTGACAACTCAAAAAAACCAGTCTTCTTTCCTCCAAATGGCCACAGTAATTCTCCAGCAAGGGTTCTTTTCTGACCTGAAATGGCTGAAATGACAGAAATAGAATTCAGAATATGGATAAGAACAAAGATCACTGAGATCCAGGAGAACACTGAAACCCAATGTAAGGAAGCTATGAATCACAATAAAAAGATATAGCAGTTGAAAGACAAAATAGCCAGTAAAGAAAAAAAATGTAACTGACCTGAAAAAGGTGAAAACACACCATAAAAATTTCATAATGCAATCACAAGCATTAACAGCAGAATAGGCCAAGCAGAAAAAAGAATCTCAGAGCTTGAAGGCTGGCTTTCTGAAACAAGACTGTGATACAAGAATAAATAATAATAAAAAAAGAAAAGAAAACCCTCATGAAGTATGGGGTTATGTAAAGAGACTAAATGTACAACTGACTGGTGCCCCTGAAGGAGATGGGGAGAGTGTAAGCAACTTGAAAAACATATTTCAGGTTATTATTCATGAGACTTCCCCTAACCTAGCTGGAGAGGAAAACAGTCACATCCAAAAGTGTTGAGAGCCCCAGCAAAATATTTCATGATAAGATATTCTCCAAGATATAATCATCAGATTCTCCAAAGACAAAATGAAAGTAAAAATATTAAAGACAGCTAGAGAGAAAGGACAAGTTACCTACAAAGGGAAGTCCATCAGGCAAGCAAAAGATCTCTCAGCAGAAATTCTATAAGCCAGAAGAGACTGGGGTCCCATATTGAAGATTCTTAAAGAAATGAAATTCCAACCAAAAATTTTATGTCCAGCTAAACTTAGCTTCATAAGTGAAGGAGAAATAAGATACATTTCTTTTTAAAAAAAAATTATTTACTATACTTTTAAGTTCTGGGTTACATGTACAGATTGTGCAGGTTTGTTACATAGGTATACATGTGCCATGGTGGTGGCTTGCTGCATCCATCACCCCACATTCTACATTAAGTATTTCTGCTAATTCTATCCCTCCCCAAACCCTGTCATTCCTCCCCTAGCCCCCAACCAACAACAGGCCTCAGTGTGTGATGTTCCCGTCCTGGTGTCCATGTGTTCTCATTGCTCAACACCCACTTATGAGTGAGAACATGCAGTGTTTGGTTTCATGTTCTTGTGTCAGTTTGCTGAGAATGATGGTTTCCAGCTTCTTCCATGTCCCTGCAAAGGACATGAACTCATCCTTCTTTATGGTTGCATAGTATTCCATGGTGTATATGTGCCACATTCTCTTTATCCAATCTATCATTGATGGGCATTTGGGTTGGTTCCACATCTTTGCTATTGTGAACAGTCCCATAATAAACATACATGTGCATGTGTCTTTACAATAGAATGATTCATAATACTTTGGGTATATACCCAGTAATGGGATTGCTGGGTCAAACGGTATTGTTATTTCTAGGTCCTTGAGGAATCACCACACAGTCTTCCACAATGGTTGAATTAATTTACACTCCCACCAACAGTGTAAAAGTGTTCCTATTTCTCTACATCCTTTCCAGCATCTGTTGTCTCCTGATTTTTTGATGATTGCCACTCTAACTGGCATGAGGTGGTATCTCAATGTGATTTTGATTTGCATTTCTCTAGTGACCAGTGATGATGAGCTTTTTTTCATATGTTTGTTGGCTCCATAAATGTCTTCTTTTGAAAAGTGTCTGTTCATATCCTTTGCCCACTTTTTGATGGGATTATTTTTTTCTTTTAAATTTGTTTAAGTTCTCCATAGATTCTGGATATTAGCCCTTTGTCAGATGGGTAGACCGCAAAATTTTTTTCCCATTCTGTTGGTTGCCACTTCACCCTATAGATAGATTCTTTTGCTATACAGAAGCTCTTTAGTTTAATTAGATCCCATTTGTCTGTTTTGTCTTTTGTAGCCATTGCTTTTGATGTTTTAGTCATAAGTCCTTGCTCATGCATATGTCCTAAGTGGTATTGCCTAGGATTTCTTCTAAAATTTTTAAAGTGTTAGCCCTCGTGTATGTCCTAAATGGTATTGCCTAGGACTTCTTCTAGAGTTTTTATAGTGTTAGGCCTCATGTTTAAATCTTTAATACATCTAGAGTTAATTTTTGTATAAAGTGTAAGGAAGGGATCCAGTTTCAGCTGTCAGCAGATGGCTAGCCAGTTTTCCCAACACCATTTATTAAATAGGGAATCCTTTCCCCATTGCTTGTTTTTATCTGGTTTATAAAAGATCAGATGGTTGTAGTTGTGTGATGTTCCTTCTGAGGCCTCTGTTCTGTTCCATTGGTCTATATCTCTGTTTTGGTACCAATACCATGCTGTTTTGATTACAGTAGCCTTGTAATATAGTGTGAAGTCAGGTAGGGTGATGCCTCCAGCTTTATTTTTTTGTTGTTTAGGATTGTCTTGGCTATGTGAGCTCTTTTTTGGGGGCCATATGAAGTTTAAGGTGGTTTTTTTCCAATTCCATGAAGAAAGTCACTGGTATCTTGATGGGGATAGCATCAAATCTATAAATTACTTTGGGCTGTATGGCCATTTTCATGATATTGAATATTCCTAACCAGAGCATGGAATGCTTTTCCATCTGTTTGTGTCATCTCTTATTTCCTTGAGCAGTGGTTGGTAGTTCTCCTTAAAGAGGTCCTTCACATCCCTTTCTACTTGTATTTTAGGTATCTTATTCTCTTTGTAGCAATTATAAATGGGCTCATGATTTGGCTCTCTGTTTGTCTATTATGTGTGTATAGGAATGCTTGTGATTTTTGCACATTGATTTTGTATGCTGAGAATGCCAAATTTACTTATCAGCTTCTTAAGGAGATTTTGGTCTGAGACAATGGGGTTTTCTAAATATACAATCATGTCATCTGCAAAGAGGGACAATTTGATAATCCTCTCTTCTTATTCAAATATCCTTTATTTATTTCTCTTGCCTGATGGCCCTGGCCAGAACTTCCAATACTATGTTGAATAGGAGTGGTGATAAAGGGCATCTCTGTCTTGTGCCAGTTTTCAAAGGGAATGCTTCCAGTTTTTGCTCATTCAGTATGATATTGGCTGTGGGATTGTCATTAAAAGCTCTTATTATTTTGAGATACGATCCATTGATACGTAGTGTATTGAGGGTTTTTAGCATAAAGGGCTGTTGAATTTTGTCGAAGGCCTTCTCTGCACCTATTGAGATAATCATGTGTTTTTTGTCTTTAGTTTTTCTGTGATGGATTACATTTATTGATTTGCAGATGTTGAACTATAAAGCAACCACACAAACATGCCTGCGAGATAGCCAACTAACAACATGATGACAGGATGAAATCCACATATAGCAATACCAACCTTGAATATAAATGGGCTAAATGCCTCCAAATAAAAGGCACAGAGTGGCAAGCTGAATAAAGAAGCAAAATCCAATAGTTTGTCTTCCAAGAGACCTATCTGATGTGACCACCATAATCTCAAAATAGAGGGATAGAGAAAATCTGCCAAACAAATGAAAAGCAGAAAAAGAGCAGAAGTTGGAAAACTAATTTCAGAAAAAACAGACTTAACAAAGTTCAAAATACACAAAGAAGGGCATTACATAATGATAAATGGTTCAGTTCAACAGGAAGACCTAACTATCCTAAATATAAATGCATCGACCACAGGAGCACTCAGATAAATAAAACGAGTTTTTAAAGATCTTCAAAGAGACTTAGACTTCCACACAATAATGGGAAACCTGAACATGACTTAAATCCAAGAGCTGTGTTGTTGAAAAAATTAATAAAAGAGACTGCTAGCTAGACTTAATAAAGAAGAGAAGGGAGCAGATCCAAATGAACACAGTTAGAAACCACAAAGAATACATTACCCCTGACACCACAGAAATGCAAGCAACCATCACAGACTACTATGAACACCTCTATACACACAAACAGAAAATATAGAAGACATGGATAACTTCCTGGACACATACACCCTACCAAGACTGAACCAGGAAGAAACTGAATCCCTGAACAGACCATTAAGGAGCTCCAAAATTGAACTAGTAATAAATAGCTTGCCAATAAAAAATCCCAGGACAAGATGCATTCATGGCAAAATTCTACCAGATGTTCAAAGCAGAACTGGTACCATTCCTACGGAAACCATTCCCAAAAATTCAGGAGGATGGACCCTTCCCCAACACATTCCATGAGGCCAGTATTATCCTTATACCGAAACCTGGCAGCGACACAACAAAAAAAGGAAACATGAAGGCAATATCCTTGATTAACAATGATGTAAAAATCCTCCACAAAGTACTAGCAAACTTAACCTATCAGCACATCAAAAAGAATGATCAAAAAGGCTTTATCCCTGGGATGCAAGGTTGCTTCAACATACACAGATCAATAAATGTGATTCATTTCAATAACAGAACTAAAGGCAAAACCCACATAATTATCTCAATAGACACAGAAAAGGATTTTGATAAAATTTAACATCCTTTCATGTGAAAAAAATTTCAACAAACTAGGTACTGAAGGAACATACTTCGATATAGTAAGAGCCATCTATGACAAATATACAGCCAAGATCATACTGAATATGCAAAAGCTGGAAGCATTCCCTTTATAAAAACTGGCACAAGACAAGGATACTCTCTCTCACCAATCCTATTCAACAGAGTATTGGAAGCCCCCCTTGCCAGATAAATCAGACAAGAGAAAGAAATAAAGGACATTAGAATAGGAAGAGAGG